CTTGTTACTTCATGGTGGAGCCGACTTGGAACTCGCCTTGTTGCACGCCGTGCGCGAGAGTGATGTGAGAGGTGTTGAAATTTTGCTCCAATTTCACAATCCTTCATCACCAAAGCGGATATCTCCGGATTCAATGAGCTTAAAATATCATCGTCACTTCACGCCATTGATCCTGGCGGCCTGCTTGCAGAATTTCAAAATTGTAAAACTCCTCTTGGAACATGGATTCTCCATTCCTAATTTACCGATTGGGGGGAGGGGGGAGGGGGGAGTTGTGAGTTCGAATGTAGCTAATACATAAGAAAGAAAAAGGAAGCACTGATCGACTGACTCTGATTACTTAGCCTGTCATCATTTAGCCTTTCATCATTTAGTAATAAGCGATATCTAGTACCAGCAGAGCGATGGGAGGAGGAGATTTTTTTGGGGTGATGTCCTTATTGGGTGTACTTGGAAAACACACCGAAACATGGCAGGTGATTTCAAAATACCTTTTCAACATGTGTGTTACGAAAAACTTTGGTGTTAGAGTTTCTTATAGAGATTATCAAATTATGAGGGCCTTCCCTTAAGCAATGCTGAGAGCGAATGCTTCGACTAAAATGGAGAATACGAATATCAAAAGGGATGAGGGTATCTGAGGTTTCTTCCACTGAATTATCATGTGATTTTTCGTCAACTCTTGAAAGTTGGGAAACTACGATTCGTTCCTATTACTGCGAGACAAAAACCACTCGTGATCAGTAGCAATTTGTGTAACATATTTATCTCAAAATAGTTATTTGTGGGAAAGTTCGTTCCGGAAAAGCCAAAGCCCTCCTGGAAAATAAGAAGGACTAACGAAAGAGAGGTAGGAAGACAACGCATTGTATTAATCTTGTGAGCAAAGATTTATTCTGTTTTCGATGTCCTGTAGAATATCTACGAACCCTCTTTTAAGAAACGAGTAAGAATGTGTCAAAATGGTAATGTTGCATTGAATTTTCTCCAGCTACATTAGGCAAGAAAATCAATAGTAATTAGTCGAGTCTAATTTAATTTAATGTAAAATATTTATATCACAGTTTTCTTTCTGCCATGGCGAAAGTAAATCCTGGCCCACCAGTTACAATATTTCCTTAAGGTACAGCTGAAAAAGATACCTTGAATTTTCAGAGACGAGAAGTGATGCGCCATCTAATCCTGAGGAACTTGGCTAAAAAGTCATGTCATTTAGAGCCTGGTAACGCGTCAGATGATTCGCACGAAGAATATGACATTGAAAGCACCGTCTCATTTCCGAA